TGCATGAGAATAACTTACATTATCTGTCAATAGGCTTTTCATTTCTATATTCTTCAGGCTACAAACGCTGTAACCGGAGAAGTGCAGGGGAATAGCTCGGGTCTATTAATGATCAAGGCAGAGACGTTGAAAAAGCAGTTAATGAAATTATACAATCATTAACCTGAAGGGAAAAGAATAAAAAGAATCAATAAAACCTCTATTTTAGATGGCTTAGATGTATATAAAGAAACCAATTCAGGAGCAGTTTGTTTGCTGACAGTATTTTGTGCCTCATTATCAGGTTTTCTGTGCGGGGTAAGAATAACGCTTGTGGCATAAGGAATGGAAAATGTAACAAAGGCTAAATGTAGCCTAAGGAAATGAAATGATGTATGAAAATTAATAATTAACTGGCTCATCAGATGAATTATGACTCTAGATGAGTTTATTAATGATATTTACTAAGAAAGAGCTCTTGGCTGTAAATAGGCATTATGGAACTCATGTTTTTGGAATGCTCTTGAATGGATGAGTTAACATTGCTTTTCATTTGTTGAATCTTTTAATCTGTGAGCCGCAGTGCCTAGAGTCTTGGGTAGAAGGTAGAGTCATGATTTTGTATTTTGATCAAAGTCATAGCTTTTCCAGAAAACTAGTGAAATCATTAAATGGTTTTGTGGCTGAGTTTCCTTAGCAGTTAAGTAATTTCCTTTTAGACCTGACTTAAAGGAGGATGTTTTAGGAGTTTGAAAGTGGTCAAAGGAAGAATATATTAACTCACATTGACTCATTTGACAAAATGAACATTTTTATTATTTGAACCGATGGAGCATTAAAAACTCTAAATGTATCAATATGTCAGATTCAGAATACCATAAATTTGTACTTTTGGATGTTCCTTGCTTTTCCTTTCTCTTCTTTTTTTTTTTCTGTTGATACCTCGGGGAAAGGTACTGGATAGAGGATGAAAGAAGAAGTAATTTGGGAAACTTGAGTCAGTTTTTAAATAGAAGGATGCTCTACCAGTGGAATCCTACCACTTAGATTTTGATACTGATGAGTTATGATTTCACTTTTCGTCAAAGCGTAGGCAAACTTAATCCGGATACCATTTTTCAAGGTTGTCTTTTAAGTGTTGTCTTTCGGCACACTGCTGGTGTGTGAGCCTCCTACCAGCTCTTGCTTTGATGGAGTGGATGGAGATTATTATTTTTGCTTCCATGTTTACCCTGTCCCCTCGATTTAAACGTCATAGGTATAAAATCTACATATTTATGCTTGATCTCTATAAGTGGGTATTTTCTTTTAAAGTTTATTTATTTTGAGAGAGACAGAGAGAGAGCACAAGCAGGACAAGGGCAGAGAGGGGGACAGAAGATCCGAAGTGGGCTCTGGGCTCTGTGCTGACAGCAGAGAGCCAGATGTGGGGCTCTAACTCATGAACCATGAGATCATGGCCTGAGCCCAAGTTGGATGCTTAGCCAACTGAGTCACCCAAGCGCCCCATCAGTAGGTATGTTGGATCATCTTCCTTATCTTAATTATTTTGAAGATCAGAATTTCAAGAGACCTCAGTGATTCTGACCAACTTCCTTATTTTATGGATGAAAGCTCTGAGTCCAAAGAAGTTATAAATGATGTGCCACAGGTAGAACTCTGGTGTCCTGCCTTCTAATTGAGTGCTTTTTTTTTTCCCCCACTCTGACTCAATGAGGAAGCGTCTTTCTTAAAAGTTAGCAGTTCATTCCTTTTTTGTTACCAAGTGGACCTAGGATTATAAATGAACATATGGCCTAGCTAAAAAGTATATAAAGTTTTATGGTATCGGTAGATAAAATTGATTTTTAAATTCTGGTCTCTAATGCTTGAAAAATCTGTTGGCATAATTAATGTGAAAACTGGATTATTAAGCATATTTTCACATACAGTTTATTTTTGACTTGAGGCTGGTTTTCTCAGCTCATAAGCCACTGCCCCACTGGCGTTTCTTTATGGTATCAACCGCTTTACTTTCTGGCTGTTGCTTTTCTGGTAATAAAATTTAAGTGCATTTTTTGTTATTGTTGTTACTTCCGACCTAAAGTGATTTAAAACAGGGGCACAGTTTATAAATAAAATAAAATGAAAGTCCAGGTTGACAGGCAAGTATGAGTGTCTGATACTTAATTAACTTCTTAATGCTTTATTTTTCCTGCACACTGACCTTTTTGATGATCTGACCCAATACTAAGTACCTACTTATGTGTTTTTATTCAGATATTTGATGAGAATTCCTGCTTGCATGTGATATTGCTGCCAAAGAAATGACTCCTTTATTTTTAAAAACCTGGAAATGGGCATAGTCTGCAAATCTTCAGACACTGGTCACATGGACTCATAGTGACTCATAATGCCAGTCATGTTGGATGATTCCGTATTTTCAACAAATTGCCGATACAACATATGTATACTTTTGTTTATTTATTTAGGTTGGTATTGAATGAGGGCTCTCTTCTGCAGGGTTCAGAGTACTCAGAAAACACTACTTTTTAAAATATTTTTTTAATGTTTTTTATTTATTTTTGGGACAGAGAGAGACAGAGCATGAGCAGGGGAGGGGCAGAGAGTAGAGGGAGACACAGAATCGGAAGCAGGCTCTGCGCTCTGAGATGCCAGCACAGAGCCTGACGCGGGGCTCGAACTCATGGACTGTGAGATCATGACCTGAGCTGAAGTCGGACGCTTAACCGACTGAGCCACCCAGGCGCCCCCGGAAAACACTACTTTATGAATTAGTGGAGAATAGATGGCCAATATCCTCTGGCAAAGCACAGAGACATCAAATGACTCTTGCTCATAATCAACCCAGGAATCAATAGACCGGAAGATAATACACTGGAGTTCTTTTTAAATGGACACAGCAGAAAACGCATTAGAAGTTTTTCACCGTGAAAAACCAGCATCTTACAACCAGTTTGATACCAGGGTTCATTTCTTATTGTTCCATAAAACAACTTAAATGATAAGGTTTGGGTAAGCTGGATTTGCTTGTCCATTCTTGGGGACTGTAATGGAGGGAAGGGCGGGAGTTCGATATCAGAGTATTTCTCAAGAATGCTTGGCTTGGTAGTATGAAATGTGACAGAATTCTTTTTTTCTAATGTTTATTTATTTTTGAGAGAGAGAGAGAGAGAGAGAGAGAGAGAGAGAGGATCCCAAGCAGGCTCCACACTGTCAGCACAGAGCCTGATGCGGGGCTTGATCTCTTGAACTGTGAGATCATGACCTGAGCTGAAATGAAGAGTTGGACACTTAACAACTGAGCCACCTGGGTGCCTTAGACTAATAGAATTCTTTTTTTTCCCCAATACTTATTTTTTGAGAGAGAGAAATGCACATGTGCGAGGGGCAGAGAGAGGGGTGACAGAAGATGGGAAGCGGGCTCTGAGCTGTCAGCACAGAGCCCAATGTAGTGCTCGAACCCACCAACCATAAGATCATGACCTGAGCTGAAGTCGGACGCTTAACCGACTGAGCCACCGTGGCATCCCTGGAATTCTTCATAAGGTAGAGAATTGGTAAGGATGAGGAAAACTTTCCAAATGTTGTATTGTTAATAATTTTTGAAGTTTTTCAACATATGGGAACACATAATTCTGAGGGCACAGCGAGTGCTTGACTTGAAAATCAAATATTTTTGCTTTCCTAAAAGGATCAAAGAAACAAAAACTCTTTGTAGAGAGTTTTCTCTATGTGATGTTCTGCCCTTGATGACCGATGGAGCCACTCATTTAGGATTTGGTTGGAAATACTTGTCTAAGACACTGAGTGGGTCATATAGAAAAAGCAGGAATCATCCAGTTGAGAATATCTGACCACTGCTGCTTTGCACTCAGTCCTGTTTCCTGCATTTGTTCAGCTTTGGCTTCTTTTCATGACTATCCTGTCTGTGGAAAAGAATGCGGATTGTGACTGTGTCTGTCACTCATTTGGAGTAGTGACACTTAATCACCTCATTGAGTCTGTGTACATTTCGGAGGGCTGTTACAGATCAAGGCAGGGAATGGCCTTTTCTAAAGATTTGTAAGCAGAGAGTACTGACCTTATGATGCACAGATGCGTAATGACGTCCTATGGTCTTATCAGTCCTTGGTTCTCTCTTTGCTGCTTGAGGAAAGGGGTGGTGAATGGCTGATTTACTGTATGTGGAGTATGGTGGACATACTTACCGTTAGAGGGGCTCTTCTTTTGTTATGCTTTCCATAAAGTGTTTTGCACAGACTTTTTCCTTTTCTAGGGCCTTCATAGAAGGTGAGGGTATGGTGATGTCGATTCTTTTGCCATCGCCATAACTCAGAATCATCATGTTGCTGTGTTTGGATATATGGGCATATGACGTCTTTGCGAGAATCCCAGGCCCGTATTTTTATCTTTTGTAAATCCAGGGACTGTGAAAAATTTGCTCTTACAGTAAAAATCAGAGGTGGTTTGACATCCTTTTCAGAGGCCATATCTTTGGTTTGTTTCCTGGAAACGTTGAAGCATTGGTCTCATAGCTCACGAGGTGATGCTTTGGGTTTCCTAAGACTCACTGTAGCAGAAGTGAACTAGGATGGACAGATCCTCTGGGGAGCAAAATAAGTTTCATCCTGCAAGCTGGCACCAGTTGATTGGCTGTAGTTGCCAAGAGCCCTGTATTGAGAAGGGCTCAGTGGTAAATACAACAATGCAGTGATCCATAACCCATGTCTACCGTGAATGCAGGAAGGGAGAGTGCCTGCCAATGAACCATGTATTTGATGACCCTGCCTTGCATAAAAGGCTGTTTTGCTAAGACTGCTTCTTTTCCTCCTTATGTGAATGCTACACAGGTTGAAAATTCACTGTGACTTATTTTCATTTTTACCTTTAAAAATGCCTGCATTTATTTTTTTAAACAGGCTAATAACCCACACCATGGATAACTTATTGGACTTTGCCTGAAAGGACTCATTAGTTCCATTGGATACTTGACCATCCTGGCCACGGGTTTTTTCAGAATGAATGGAAGGTCATGCAGCATGAGTCTCCACCGGACATCAGGAAGCCCGCAGGGGCCTGGGATGGTCAGTGGCCAACACATTCCTCCCATCCGAGCCCACTCTGGGACTCCTGGCCCCTCGTCCTGTGGCAGCACGTTGAGCTCTGCCATCGGAAGCCTTGCTAACAGCCTGCATCTCAAGATGCCCTCGGGAGGAGGGCTGGCTCCTCAGAGCAGCATGGCCGAGAGCCCCCTCCGTCTGCCCGCCTTGAGCCCCCGGAGACAAGTGCTCACCAATGGGAAGCCACGATTCCAGGTCACCCAGGCTGGAGGCATGTCAGGGCCACACACTTTAAAGCCAAAGCATCAGGAGTTTGGAAGTCCTTTTCCTCCAAATCCTGGGAAAGGTAGGATTGTCTTTCTGGGATCTTTTACAAGTGGAAACTAGTTTTTTCTCCCCCGGTTCCTCCTCTGCCAGCAAATCATATGGAAAAATAGGTGATTGAGTGTCAGGGTCAGAGCTGATGGTCTCACAGTAGGTAGCTTACTTGGCCAGGGGGTGGGTGTGGATGTGTGTGTGAGGGTGCGGAGGCCACAGTGGCAAACGTGACACCTTGTGGGACCGTGAAGCAGAGTGGAAGGCGAGACAGATCAGAAACATGGATGAGGGTGGGTGGGCGGTGGAAGGTGTAAGGGTGACTTGAGAGAGATCCTGCCCTCTGGACACACAAAGGGGCTGGATGCCGAAGGCCGTGGAAGGTTGGGGGGGGGGGGCGGCCAGAAGGGTCATTGTGCTAGTTGGGTGCCAGAAGACAGGTTTGGAAGGAAAAGGATAAAAGAGGAGAGATTTTAATAGCCAATAAAGTGAAGAATTAGTACATAGAAATGATAAAAAATTATTCCTAGAGCAGAACCCGTAAGTTTTGTAACAAAGCTGGTGACAAGAGTGAAAAAAGCTAGAAGAGAAGGTGAAGGGGTATGTGTTGGGGCCTGTGGAGAACTGGAAAACTGGGTTAATTGAAATGCGGAGAGAATGTGCTTTTAATTCAGCAGTATTTGGTTAATGTGCATTTGAAATGAAAGAATAATTGTTGGAGAATAGCAGATTATTTGAATGAAACTCTCTCTAGAAACCGGTGTTGACTTAATGAGTTATATTGCAAATGAGATGTGTATTTGGGCTAGAAAGAGAAAGACCTGTATCTCCTGTGAACTACAGCTTTGTTATGTAAAATAGCACAATTATCTGTTCCTTTAGGTATTTTTAGCATTTGGTTTTAAATGTTTATATTTAAAGTGTTTGCACTACGAAACGGAATTGCTAGCAGCCCAAGTGGCCATTCACCCACTTAACTGATAGCTCACCCAGTTAGGGTGAATAATTATTTGTATCAGGCAAATAACCAAAAAGTTGTTTTAGTGTCTCCGTACTCCTCTCCATGGTATAAATGGGTCAATTAAGGAAAAGCCTGAAACATGTATGTCGCTTTTTTCCTATTTATTTATTTATTTATTTATTTATTTATTGGTTTAGGGTTGGTTTGAGGTTGTTTTGTTTCTTACACCTGCTGATGTTTAGTATGAGTATAGGAAACACTTCTCCTGGGTCTGCTTCCAAACCCCATTGTTGTCAGGGTGCCGTGTCCCTGGTGTGACAAGCTATGTTCCTTGATGTCAAGCTCACGTGCTTGGGTTTTCAGGGGCCAAGACCTAGTAAAATCTTTCAGCCCCTGCTGGTCTAGTATGCCGTAGCTTGCTTTCGTCTATACTTGTGTTGAAAGCCTGACTGGCGACGATAGTAGAAGTCTTCCAATATGTCGAAGACTTCCAATATGCGATCTCAGTTATTCCCCACGATGGCCCTGAGTCGGACGCTACTGTTAATTGACTGATACAGGAACTAAGGTCTAGGAAGTAGAAGTGACTTCAGCATTGCCAGCTGGTCAGGAGTTTGGGGATGTTACTTTGATGGTGACCAGAAGTGGTTATAAGTGTACACGTGGTTTAGGAAAAATGCTTCAAGTAATCCAGGGACCGTGAACTCTCAGGGTTAATACATCCTGGAACTCAGGTAAAATGTAAGCATTAGTTTACCTGCCTCCCTCCCCCCCCCACCCCCCGCCCCCAAGTCTCCTCTTTTTAACTTTCTGGCTCCTTGCACAGCTTCTGAGCTCGTGGCATCTGTTTTGGATGTGAATGGATGGGGTGTGCATGAGCATGGGCCAGGGGTTGAGGACAGCCGTGTTACCATCCTTTCTGGCCTCGGTAGCTTGGCCACTCTAGATGGTGCCAGCGGTGGCTGAATGTGTCTCTTTCAGATCTCAGTTGACAGTTCCTAAGCTAAGCCAATAACTGGTTGAAGATGGTGTCCTGGACCGTTTGAACTCCATCCAATCGTTTACTCAACAGAGAATTATTGAGCATGTACTATAGGTGAGCCACTGTCCTAGGGTTACAGTAGCCAGTGGGACACAGTCCGGCCCTCAAGGAGTTAGGAGAATTCAGACAAATGAATGGGCAGTTAAAGCACAATTCGGGCTCTGGTAGCGATACACTGAGGGCACTAGGGCCACATTTGGAGGGTTCCCAGCCTGTGCTCGATGAGTGGATTTGGAAGGAGAGTAGGATATCTGGGCGGAACCTGAGGGATAAGTAGCTAGCCTTGCAGTCATGCAGATTGTATGTCGTGTGTGTGTGCACGCGTGTGTGCGTCTGTGCACATGTGTAGGTATGTGTGCGAGGGATGCCGTCCAGAACCTATTCTGGATAGAGAGACAAACACCCTCAAAACCTGGAGAGAGAGATCATGGTGCATTTCATTAACTTCTGCCTGATTCTACCCTGGGGAGTGTACAGACTGTGGTAGGAGACGAGACTGGGACAGGAATAAGCAGAGGCCAGATAAAGGTTATGAATGGTGTGCTGAAGAGTTCGGATCTACCTTGACCCTCTGCGAGTTGCGGAAGGGTTTTAGCCCTGGGGACGATGTGATGGAATGGTGTGATAAACTTGAGGTCGACATCTCTCCCGGGATTTGTCATCGCTTTCTTATGCGTTGTTGACATTGTCATGACCCAGAGAGAGAGGTACCAAAGAGCCTGTGACTCTGTGGGTATATTAGTCAGGGGCTTCTCTAGCAAAATAGATCCTATAGGAAATGCATCTCTGCCTGTGTCTGTACCTGTACCTGTATCTGAATAGAGTGTGGAGGCTGACCGTTGCCAAGAAATGGAAGACGAGTCAGCAAGCTGAAGACGCGGGAAAGCTGATGGCTGGCGTAGCCCCTTTCTGAAGGCCAGCAGGTGGGAAACACACCCACAAAGAACCAGCGTTTCAGTTTGAGTCCAAGGGCAGGAAAAGATGCTGACGTCCCGGTGTGAAGGCAGTCATTCAGGGAAGAGTTCTCTCTTGCCTGGTGGAAAGTCAGCCTTTTATTCCCTTCAGACCTTCAACTGATTGGGGAGGTCTATCCGCATTAGGAAGAACAATCTCTTTTACTCAGTCCGCTGATTTAAATGTGCGTCACATCCAAAAACACTCACAGGAGCACCCATAATGATATCTGACCAAATATCCGGGCCCCTCATGACCCGCTGAAGTTGACGTAAAACTGTCACAGTGGGGTACCATTACTTTGGGGCCAAGTGCCGTTTACAGGGTGGCGAAGAAAACACACTTTCTAGGCCTTGAGAGAGAATCCAGCGGAACTTTGTACAGAAAATACGTTCTCTAAGGATTGCCACACAAACACATATCTGACTCCAAGCCGTATCTAGTGGGAGCCTTGTAAGAAATATAAACTTAATTGTAGTGTTTATGTTACTTAAGGAGTAAGTTCCACTCAACTGAAGACTCACGTAACAGTGTCTTTCCCATCACAGAGCATGGTTCTCGGGTCGTGTGCCAAGGGCCCTGGAGCACCCAGCAAACTCGGGGAGCCGTGGGGTATGTTTACTCTTGAGGGAAACAGAGAAGATGTGGCGTCCTTTGGACACCAGGCAAACCGCTAGCTTGAGGAGGTTCAGACTTTGAACATTAGATTGCCCGTGCTGCTTCTAGTGGTGTCATATCTTTGCAAAGCTACCCTTTCAGTAGTTGTGATGACAGAGCCGGCGCTTGGTGGGCCAAAAGGTGGGAACAGCCCAAGTGGAGGCGAATGAATGGGTAAACAGTACGTTATGTCTCATGCACACAACGGAATATTCTTCAGCCTTAAAAAGGAAGGAAATTCTGACACCCAGTACAACATGGGTGAACCTTGAAGACACGATGCTGAGTGAATCATGCCAGGCACAAAAAGATAGATGCTACATAGCTGTTCTTATATGAGGTTCCTAGGAGAGTGAAATCACAGAGACAGAAAGTAGACTGGTGGTGGCTGTGGACTGGAGGGAGGGGCAATGGGGAGTTGTGGAGATGCACGCTGATGCTTGCACAGCAGTGTGAATGCACTAAATACACCCTTAAAAAATGGTTAAGGGGCTCCTGGGTGGCCCAGTAAAGTGTCCGACTTCAGCTCAGGTCATGATCCCACAGTTCATTGGTTCGAGCTCCGCGTCGGGCTCTGTGCTGACAGTGTGGAGCCTG